AGTCCATCCATTCATTGGACTACGTACCTGTATGTGTCGTCAACGGTCCATCCATTCATTGGAACTACGTACCTATATGTGTAGTCAACAATCCATCCATTCATTGGAACTACGTACCTGTATGTGTCGTCAACGGTCCATCCATTCATTGGAACTACGTACCTATATGTGTCGTCAACGGTCCATCCATTCATTGGACTACGTACCTATATGTGTAGTCAACGGTCCATCCATTCATTGGACTACGTACCTGTATGTGTAGTCAACGATCCATCCATTCATTGGACTACGTACCTATATGTGTAGTCAACGGTCCATCCATTCATTGGACTAAAGATCAACCAACTACTAAGCTAAACGTAATATTGAATTTATTTCCGGTAAAGAAATGATTTAATAAAATTGAAAATCTTGTCAAAAATCAGTTAAAATACACCTCATACAAATCAGCATGATTTAACAGTAGTATGTGTGAGTATACGTTAATAAGATTATTTAAATCAGTGCTATATCAGCTAACAATAATGTTTATATTGAAATCATTTTCAGCAATTGAAATTCACGAAAAAAGGAACCTAGCTATTTTGAGAGATATGTCAGTCACTGTAAGTGAAGTCGGAGACGTTGGTGATTGTATTTACACAATCATAGCAATTAAGGCGTTACGAGGAGACAATTCTGAGCCATTGAGTGTGAAAGAACTCATCGTCTGGAAGAAAATTGGTGATGAGTATTATGCCCATCGTGTCATCTGGAATGCTGATTGTGAACAAACCAATCCATGGAGCAATGTAGCATGACATCTTATTTCAATATGTCACTTGCATATGTACAATGTAGACTTCTTATGATAATGAGAGTTACCAATGTAATGTGGTTACAATTGCTGTAATAAAATACTTGTGGTTAAATCTAACCAAGTATCATTACTAGACAGTGTTGCGTTGGTTTTAGTACAAAAACATCATTCAACATAATGGAATAGCCAAATAGAATCATCATTCACATTCCTGAGCCCAATCAGGGGGGGTGTGTGTCAATGACACTCCAAATTCATACGTTAAATGTGATGAAAATAATAGAAACATATTGAATACAGGTGATATTGTCAACAAAATGGCCAATATTGGCATAAATGTATGTCTTCAAGTGCTTACTATTTGACTGTCTGATTAAAAACAGGTGAAATATACCAGACAGTGCGTGTATAGATAGTGTGGGTGATGACAGAGTGTATGTGAAGAAATATGAGTGGAGGCGTTGTGTAATGATAGTATGTGCAAATACAGTATGTGCAAAAACAGACTGTGTGAAAATACAGTTTGGTGCGAAAACAGTGTGTGGAAAGACTGTTTGTGCAAAGAAATTAGTGTGTGTTGACTGACTGTGTGTGCAAAGAAGGCAATGTTTGCGAATGAGGTTCGCCACAATATCAACTGCTGTTTGTGGTCAATGATCACATATTGTCTGTCTGGGTATTTTTTGTATTTATGATGTAAATTATTTTACGTTTTGTGGTATAATTCCAATACATAGTCAAGTAAATTATACCAGAGTCATATTTTCTCTACCAGTTTTATGATGAGGTTGTTATTAATTAGACTGCAGCTTTGTCATTAATTACACTACAGCCACACAGTTTCAACCGATCAAGATGGCTTTGATAAAGTTCAATACAATAAATGGACGAGATCATTGTACATCTATTTAGGAAGTGCAATCCAGAAATGTGATATTATATATTCAGGTAACCTTTAATAATTATAAATTTTGAATATTACTAAATGTTTTTTTAACTACCAGCGAGTGGCGGGTTGTATCAGTACGTTCTACATACCCTGCTGTGAAACTTCGTGAATTTTGTTGTTAATTTTATTAATCGATGCAATGAGTTTAACTTTAACAAGAAATAAAAAGTAAAATAGATGCAATGTGCTTTACGTGTAGTATATCGCCCTCGACGTTGTAAAGGTACAATTCACACCATTGACTTTAAATTGAGTTGCAAAATTGTAATTAGAATATGTAGTTCTATAGGTTATATTTGATAATGTGTATTACCAATTGACTGATTTTATTACAAAGCAGTCCTTGGTTTATGATTAACCTCATTGCAATATTTCACACAATGATCAAGGTCAGTGATCGCATCCAGATAATCATAACAACGCATTTATATTTGGGGGGTAAAAGTCGAAAATTCATACGTTAAATGTGTTGAAAATATTTAGATATTTTAGAAAACAGATTGGGTTATTTTCATGGCACAAATGTCCAATATTGGCATAAATGTATATCTTCAAGTGCCTGTTATTTCTTCCAAAGATGCCTGCCTGATAAAAAAACAGGTACGTTATGCGATATGCATATGTGCGTGAAGACATTGTGTGAACGACAGTGTCTGAAAACACAGTGTGTACAATGACAGTGTGTGCAAAGACATTTTGTACAAAAACATTTTTTGCGAAGACAGTGTGTGTGGAGACAGGATGTGTGATGACAGTGTGTGAAAAGAAGACAGTATGGGGCAAAGAAGACAGTGTGTGAAAAGACAGTGTATGAAAGACAGTGTGAAGGATATTAATCCAAAAACGTTTTTACAAGCCAAATATGAAAAATATATAGCCGAAGTTAATCCTGAAGCATGTACTTAACCTGTTTTTTTTTTAATACTGCTGTATAAGATACACATGCAATTTCAACAATGTGCTTTCAATTAAATTTGTGTGTTTTAATAAAAAACATAAAGGTGCAACCATGATTTACAGTGTATCAGAAGAGATATATGTACTATTTTTTCATCCGATAAGCGATTGCTTAAAATAAACATAAAATCATGATTTTGCTTACTAATTTAATGTAATAAATATACGTGTCTCTAATAATATGGCCAACGCAAATTTGTTGTTATGTGTTTTACCTGAAGGTTGGATATTTATACTTTTAAGGGGGAAAATGTTAATTAGCGTAAGTTGTCGGATAATGGAATCATATGGTAAACATTCAAGATAAGATAAATGAACCAGTAAATAGTCATTATTTTTGTTAACAATTTCTTTTTATTCGATTCTGATTTATTTATTCAATCAATACATCAGTCAATACATCAATTCAGTCGTTATTTTATTACTGAAACTCCTAATCTATTATATACTGTTATTTGTTGTTTTAAATGTTATTTGCATTATTATGGTGGGCTGTTAATCAACATTGAATTAAAATGAACATCGACATACAATGTGAGTAATCGTACACACGTAAATTTGGCCACAATCTTCAAACTGAACAGGTGAGATGTTTTTAGACGCAATTCCGATGACAGATTCGGGTGGTGTTTATTGGATCACAGAACATCCTGTGATACGCGCACAAAAGCTGGTATGTCATCTAGGTATGTAGTATATTAGCCGTATGGTTAAAGCGACATTTTTATTTTTAGCAGCAAGTTTTTTCGTTTTATTCTCACTGATATTACTTAGTATTGTAAAATGTTTGTGGGTTACCTGTGTACTGAGATTGTAATTCATTTTTCAGTATTAAAGTACATGTTTTACCTCGGACGATGATATGACCGTAGCGGGCTCACAACATTATACAGTAATGAAGTCATGTGTTCGATATCTTCAATCATCAGTTGTCCTATAAAGATAAATAACTTTCTATACCTACTAAAGCAGAATTAAAATATGCAAATAAACTTACAGAAGGAATAATCTATTTCTCTTAACGTCGTGTATGATATTGTACGGCTCTTAGATTATGCTTTGAAAGTGTTATTATTAAAAGAAGACATATATTTGTTTCCATTGTAACATTACTTATTCCACGGATAGTTGATAGACACGCCGCGAAGTAATGGTTTTTGCATCGTATCACGTGCTAGTTCGGACATGTGTTCCAATGCAGGCGGATTGCTTAAGGAGAAAACGTTGTTGGTGGGATTTGCTGGGTCCAAGAGGATTGGTCTGAAAACAACAAAACATATATATGGCATTAGATTTGAGCCACTGTACAAGTAGACAAATATGTCAGGTGGAAGCGAGAGGGAGAGGAAGCTACTTTATAATCCATCAGCTAGGCATACCTCGAGCCACGCTTAGTGTAGATTAACAAATGATGGTAAATAATTTCACATGTTATGAATGCTACTAAATCATTTGATAAACTTAATATTAACTCGTAATATTACGCTATAATCAAAACAACAGTAAAACTGACCAATCATGACCATGATAAATCATCTCATACTCGTTGGCAAAATGAATCGCCTAAATTCTCCAACAGATGATAGGCAAGTAAGTGTAAGTAAGTAAGTAAGAAAAGAGTACCTTGTCATTTTCGATTTTGCTTGAGCAGCTAGCGCCTGGTTATAATTTTCATACCAAGCAATGTCTAGGCTCGAGTAATTCATCAACCGCATTAACACTGCCTTAAATGCTTCTGCCATATCAAACGATGCTTGTTTTCCAGCATTCTGCCACGTGTAGATGGTTATCAGTTCCATAGGATACGATGTTGGGTACATGAAATCACGATTAGCCTTTTTCAGCATAACTTCTTTTCTCCAATACTTTACCAGTCTTATTAGGTTTTTAACGCGGGTTGGTTGACCTCTAACAAAATCAACTTGGAGCTGACCTAGTGCCACAGAATAGTAGTTTACTTTATCCGATCCGATATATGTCATTGCCTCGTTATAAGCACGGTATCTTTGATCTGTAAAGAATGAATAACTTTAAGCCACCGGAACATTAGGTTAAATATTTGTGATTACAAGTCGCCAATTGACCAAATTAGAATGGCTACAATATAACGTTATGCATTGGGCACACCCCTATTGGGAAGTTGATATGGGCCACATGATATGCGAGTGAATACATAGATATGTAGTGCAGCCCAAGAAATAATTAAATCTATATGTGGATTTCTCTACCTTGGCTTGAATGTTGTCCCAGTGCATCGAATGTTGGTAAAAGATCAACTGACATTGTATTTGTTTTGCCATCTGCTTTTGTGGTGACATCAAACTGAACAGCGAAACGCGTTGTTTTCACATTCTGAATAGAGTATGCCCACGAGGCTTTTTCCACGCCATTCTTCAAATTACCAATAATAGTTCTACTGCGGTGAAGGAGATCGTCTAATCCATTCAGTTCGTTGATAACCATTATGCAGTCTAGATCAGCCGAGTCTTTCACTTGAGTTCCTTTTCCAAAGGAACCAGACTAATAACAAATTGGTTAATAACCAGTTGATTGTTAGTAGGATGCTGTATATTATGCACTAAACGCTGCTAAGAATGCACGTATCACACGAATTATCATTCAAACCCATGCCTGCAATCATAACACTGTACGACATGTAAATTTGAAATTAAAAATTGCTTCATCTCAACTTGATTATTGTCTGTGGCAACGACGGAGTTCGCGATTAGTCACAAAGCATCTTACTAATACCGAGAGCCGTAAAATAGCCGCTTAGACGACATATTTTATTCTTACGTCAATTTGTCTAACATGTGTTGTTTAAATCTGGCCATTTTTTTATTCATTTCAAGCACTACGTGATTTTTTCATATTTTCATATAAAGTTATGCTTTAACAATAATACGAGAATAAATCGTATAAAATGGGAAAAAAACAATCATTTTTATGGTATCATAATGCTGAAATGATATCGACTGAATATAAATATCATGATACTATATTGCTGACACACAAATCAAATGTCAATATTTTAAAGGACGGTCGTCGTCCCGTCGCTCATGTACGACATTTGTGTCGATAAACATTGATTTTCCCACAATCAAATGCACACACATTTTGACCGAGGTGCAACGTGCAATAATTACCGTTGTTGAATCATTCGATACTTTCCAATCACCAAAGAAATTACTTGGTTAAGCCTTATAACGTCCTAGTTTGTACTCGGCGGTCTGCACAACAGTAAAATTCGCCGTATTTGTTCATATCAGACCAATATCTTGCGCGTGCGTGGCACGACGACCACCGCCCTTCAAAATAATCCAACTAGTCTTACCTTAACAACACGATTCACACTATAACCAACATTGTGCTGCAGGTAATTAACCAGTCTGTCAATCAGATCTTCTGCAACCCTATTATACTCCGTTGTTGGCTGCAGATGATCCACAACGAAAGATTCCAAGTTATGTGGTGATATTTGAAGGAAGTCTACAAACAATTAAATATAGTATATCCATAATATTGCGTACAGTCTTAATACTGATTTTTAGCTGGAAAGATAACATTGATTTGATTTGATTAAATAAAATGTCTGTATGCGTCAATAGACATATATCAGTATATACTGATTAATATTATATGTCAGATCTATTTCAGATGAATTATTATGATGTACGTGTAGTGTACAAACGATTTCCCTAATATGTTACACACATATTTAGTCAAATGATATTTGGTGACCAAATCGGAAAATACTTTCGTCTACAGTGTTTTTACAAAAGTAGCAAAAAAATAACATGTTATCAACATTGGCAGCATGTTTATTTCATATACATCTTGAAATGAAATAATTACGTGTCATTGTCAGTTACCAATCTGGTTTTAAATATTGACTAGTGGCACTGAATGACACGCTTGACAACGAATGTGAATTTAATAATTCATAAATTAGACAAATAATATAATATTTGAAACGACATATACCAGGCTACATTCATAACGATAAAATAAAATGGAAATGTCGTGCCTATAATTTTATACAAATCAATCCCAGCTAAGTATAGTATAGTTAACTATTATACATGCGCTAACCCCCCCCCCCCACACTCCATATGCTGCGGATGCGTGACCCGTTTCTGAGAATCCGTGAATCATAACATTTAGTCATTGTGATATCGTGTACAAATGAATTGAGTACTTGATCATGATTAATATTGAACCCCAAACATACACTTTTATGCGAATACAGCATACCCCTCCCCCTCCCCACCCCACTATTATCAACAATAATTCAATCATGTCATTGGAATTATATCAGACGCGTACTATACAGAAGAGCTAACAGGAGTCGCATATTACCTGGTTTGCTGCCACTATGATATGCTGCCATTGTTTCTACTAATAAATAACTGAGCGCATAAAAATGTCAATACCAGAACACAGTACGATGTGGTCCTCAATGCAGCTAAACATGTAATGACGGGTTACACCCCTATTTTGACCATCTGTTTCAAATTGTACGAAATTAGTACGTGGGAATTCCCGGAATCGAAATACGCAGGGACATAACATTTATATACTTGTTATACGGCTACACTATCGATAACAAATTTAAATTGTAGGTTATTTAGATCATGCACATCAGTTGTCAAGATACGACATACGTACAACTCTATGGAGACTAACTACGGAAATAACTTCACAGAAACACATGGTGATTAAAAAGAAGCATTAATATAATCGTAAACAATACTAAGATAAACCCAGATACATATTTATGTTAATAGTAATAATATTTATATATCGACGTTATACTAATTTTGATTAGTTTTGCAAACTAACGGGGTTTATTACATAAAAAGAAGTAAAAATGGATGAAATATTTACATGGAGTATACATTTATGGCGTGGTTGAGTTTTTTTAACGCCACGAAAATACGAGTAGGTAAACAATTTGATTAAAAACCATAGAAAAGGGAAGAGTCAATAATATTAAACAGTGATAAATAAAAAATAATTCATTCCACATATAAATATTTTGTTAATTTTTTTTGTATATCTCTTACTTCCTTCCTTCCTTCCTTCCAACTCAGACAACTAATAAACAGACTGGCAACGCGGCGTTTTTTATTGAAGTACTGCATGCCACCACGGTTAAAATTAGTAACCGTGATGCTACGCACGTTTGTTTAGGTTACCAGTTCTTACAATATCTTGTAAACTTTGCGGAGCAACACACCGGAATTCGAAAATGGCATTTACGGAAGAATTTAGCGAATCTGGGGACGATAGTTACGAACAACGCGTATATCACGTACTATGAAGTCGAATGCGACAAAAATAACACACCCCTAGTTTTTACCGATAACCGGCTTATGCTGATACGTTGACAGATATCGTGTATATGACACCAGCTATCCCATGTTTCGGGACCCCTGAACACAAAAACAAAACTGTTAACACACAAAGTGTGCCGCTCGAAACACATCGATATGCCCTTCCCGAAAAAATGTCAAAAAAATTCCGCAAAATCCGCAACAGCGAGAAATATCGTTTCAAAGTTGCTCATTTTATATTCAAAAACTATTTGAGGTATATACTAAGACATTCAGTTACTTGTAACTCACCTAAATATTGGTCGATTCTTAAAATTCATACACAGCTGCAAAGGTGAAAATATCCAGAACGCATCTCCCATTGTTTTGAAAATGTCTAGATCCTGGTTCTACGAAGAAACACGCAATTTCCGAAGAAGCGCGAAGTGTGCAGAATATCCGGTGTTCGGTAAACTTCAACGGTGTCTATGTCAATACTACTGAGCATGGCACACATAGCATATACAACTAAGCCGATTAACACCTTAAACAATAAGCGTTTACAGTCTGTTGTACTAGTTGTTTGAGCTTTCAATGAGTGAAGCAGTCTGTACACTTTTCTAATCAGAATCATAATCGCTCATCTGTCGTAGAAGAAAAAAAGATAGAAACATTTACTACGCAACTTAACCATCTGTGGATTTAGTAAGGTAAAAAATGGTTACAAAGACAAATAAAATAAGACAAACTAAAACACTAAAATTAAAATACACTGAAATTCAACAAAAGAAAAAATTAAAATTAGAAAATCTCTGAAAAATTGATTAAACAGCAGCAAGGTTCTCAGACCACAGTTACATATTAAACTTTAGAAAATTGTATTTTTTAAATAATATGATAAAGTCATATTATTTCCCATTATTTTCACGAAGTCTTCCATTCTGGATTGAAATACTGTTTCCTCATGTTTCCTCTCTACTTCATAGAAATTGCAATCTAAGATGAAATGCATTTCATCTTCAATTTGATCTGAATTGCAAGTTCTTTCATTTTCTGGGGTCTTTGGTTTACTCATTCTTCCCAATTCAATTCCAAGGCTGTGGACACTGAGTCTGAACTTTGCTAAAACTCTACGTTGGCTGAAGTTTTTCGTTTCATTTAGATAGTTTTCCAATTCAAAATTTTGTTTAAATATACTGTATGTTCTAAGTTTGTTTCTCTCTTTTTTATTTAATTGTGTTCTCCATGATTGAATAAATTCATTTGTTAGCTTTATCTTTACAACATTCGTTAGATGATTAATATTGTTGATCTTGTAAGTTTCTTTTATTTTAGACAAGTTATTTTCTCCAAAAATTGTTTTTATTTTAGTAATCCAGGCAGAATTATATAAAACGATAGTTATGTAAAGAGGATGTAAATTATATTTTCTTGTTTGAAATTTCAAAGTATAAGTCACCTAGTAAAACTGCTTAGGGAAAATATCTGTCATAAAAGGAGTTGATTGAGTCCGGTAAAATTCTCGATAGATCTGATCACACAAACGTCAATGAAATGTCTATCACAACAAGTAATACAGGACGTATTGACCACACACGCTATATAGAATAGGATGCGAAGTATGCGAAGTATGATTGATCTACGTACGGGCGTTTCTTTCGAGAAATCTCCGCGTAATGAGAGAATGACTACCGTATGAGTTAAAATATTACATGCTATATATTTATCTGATTGTTTCACAGAAAAGATACGTCCTCACCTTCTTGCCAAAGATTCAACAGTGGTAGACCAAGTTGGACCTTTTCATCTCCTCGACATTTGCACAAGTAACACAGAACGTATTGGACAAACACACTCTCTCACACACACTGTAGAGAATGGTGCTTGAAATCGAAGTATGCGATAAGTATTGATTCTCGTACGATAATTTTTTTAAATTCTGCGTGATGGGGTAGGGGTACTTCAGAAAAAAGTGGCCCAATGCGTTCCACCCTGCTAATTTCATCTGTGTTTGATACGAACGATGCGGGTTATACCAATACTCTCGCCGTTAATGCCAGTCTGAACTAAATCACAAGACTGAATTAAGTGTGACCGCATAGGATTATTTTTAACTGGCTTGTCATAAGTGCTCCCACGTGAAATATGCCTCCCGTGTAGACGATAAACAACATATATTGATGTATTCGTTATTTGTGTAATCTAGAACATGAACGCTCAGGGTTGGTAACATGGACATCTTCTACGGGTTCAATTTGAAAGCGTTACCAATAAGCGTGAATTTCGACCTGCGTTTATTGGATTGCGCATGGAAATCAACAACACAGGGCAATGAAGTGCGTTTATAGCGATTAGTTGTATGTTGTTCATGTCGTGGCAGTTGAAATTCACCACCCTATGGATGTTGATCTACTCTCATATTTCTAACCCCGGTCACTGATAACAGGAATCGACACTCCGTTCACCCATAATCCTTAAAATACATTTTAAAATACATTGACCCCAGCGCTATCAGTCAATTAACTGACTGAACTTATTTTATCGATTAATTAGTATTTGCTATTGAAAACAAAGATACCAGCGCCATTTTTCATGTAAAAAAAGTCATGACTCGAAGCGGAGGGATTTGATCTCCTATATAAATGAAATAAACACGTTTGGACATTATCGAAACGTTCAATCGTGTCGTTTTTTTAGTTTGACAATGATAACTAGGTTTGAAAAGAGCCAGGTTGGATAACGCCAGACCTCCTGCTAGAATAATCTTGTACATAAAATGACGCGTTCTCCTTCATTTGCATGCGGACAGGGATGTGTCGTACGCTTGCTGCTGTTGGCGATAAACATGCGACAACGAAAACATGTGCAAATGTGACGATTATAGATTACTCAGATTATATTCATGCAACTATTTTAACAACAACAACAACAACAACAACAACAACAAAAATCATCAATTTCTTCATCCGACGTTATTTGTGGCCGACATTTCCCATTACAGCATTAGAAGACTGTGCTACAAATGTTTTACTAACTACAGTAGTATTACAAGAGAACTGGTGATGGTGTGAATTATAACTGCCTCATTACAAAGACTGTTGTGTAATACAAGGCAATGTAAAGGGAAATGTATTGTAATGTTACCTCTATGTAATTTACAATATATCTACATTAACCTTCACTGTGAAGGACAATATGGGAGTGGAAGCAAGGCTACGCAAATTTTACGAAATAGTAGTTAGTTAGAATTACCAGACATTGTGGGATATCGAAATATGAATGATAATTAGCAAGTGAGATTTCCAGAGATATAGTTGAAATTGTAGCAACGGAGTGGCCTATTAACCCATTAAACATACTCGCACATATCCGTACATATCATCCTGTAATATTGTGTTTGGGGCAAAGCTGTCATGTACACAATCATAATAACTGGAAATGGTTTCAGAACGGAAAAATATTGTATTACTGTAAATAAATATGAACAATAAAAACTGAAATTTAGAAAAACTATGAACAATAAATAATAAATCTGTGATTTGCTGTACAGTTACCAGAAAATTATTAACCAAACCATAACATTTAAAGCACAGTGCTGAGATTCACTTCGAGTATACCTGAAATATAATCTTACAATCGAATACGAGTCGTCAAAACGTACAGTTTAGTGACATAAGTCTAATTGTGTATAGTTTCAATACGCATACAAGCACGCATATATATTTTGACAATAAATACCTCTTTCACATTGTACAAATACAAACAAGACATTAAACAAATTTTGAATTTCATTTTTTGCCATTTCAAATAAGACATTTCTATCGGGGAGTATAACTTTTGCATGACATCATTAGGTGATACTCATCTTCTACTTAATAATCTATTAGCAAGGGATATTCCGTTGTGTCTGCCAGTCTCAATTTTCAAGTTATGGTCACTGAGGCCGAATTTTGTTAAATTTTCGCGCATCTCAATATGTTGCAGGGTAACAAGTTGATATAAGTTGATATAGGTGATGTTTGTATATTTGTATCAATTTGTCCTAATTGCCTTGCTGTGAGAATTTCATTGTTGT